TGCGCCATTGTAGATGATGACGTGGATGGCTGGTGTATGGCTGTGGTTCTCTTTCCAGACTTGCGCAAATGATGAAGTGGTTCTGGCTTGACGACTGGACCTGTGTACTCTGCTTGTTGCGAATTTTGAATGGCGGCATCCTTACTTGCTGCTATAGCAATGGCCCGTTCGAAGGTCAAATCATTTTTCTCTTCAAAAAGACGATCCATTATTGATCTACTTTCGATTCCCATTATGAATCGATCTCTTAAGGACATCTCGAGACATTCGCCAAATTGGCAGTGTACCGCTAAACTCCGAACTCCAGCGGTCCATTCCATAATTGACTCTGAATCTAACTTTTTTGCAGAATAAAATTTGCTACGTTCTGCAAAAACGGATAGTTGACCGACAAAATGTTTGTCAAATACTTTCAACAAGTCTTTAAAATTTTTCTCTTCGGGTTTTTTCGGCAGGCACAATTTGTACATTAACCGGTAAGAGTCTTCTGATAATGAGTTTAAAAAAATTGCACGTTTTTTTGATTCCTCATTAATTCCGTTAGCACTAAAATAATTACTTAATCTTGGTTGAAAAATTGTCCAATCGTTTGCGTTGATATCGAACTCGCGGAGATGCCCAAGCAAATTTGTAAATTTTTCGTCCGGCATTTTTTTTCTAACACCACACTTTAATTACAACTAACTAATCCCATCCTCGTCGCCAATTTGTTATATTGTCCTTAATATGAAGTTTATATAACACTTGAAGCCTTCCTTCAATTTGGAAGAATCAAACTCACACTTTAAGTATTATTATTATTCTTTATTGATTTACGGTTAATACAAGAATGATTTCTTTTTAGTATTGTACATACCCATCGATGTACCTAGGCGATAACAAATCAACCAAAGAAATAAATAAATATCCCAGTGGCGTACCAGTAATATTTACAATATACAACAATTAATAATACAATATGGGCCTTACCATGGGCTAAATATCTAAATGGCGACGAGGGCACGTCACGTTACTTCTTCGCTGGGATGAGAGACAATGATGAGACTCAAACTAAGAGTACTTGGAGGAGACTCCGGCCAAGAGTCTCGGATGAGACTCCGACCAAGAGTGCCTTATTGTTGACCTAGCCGATTTTTATATTAATCGGTTAAGGTCAGTACGTGTCTAGTTTAATGTTATATTTACATTTATTAAGGACGTACTTATGTATTGCATCTAATGTTTATCAAAATATTATATAAAATATTATGCTAAATTATTTAACTTAGCGAATGTATATTAAAACAGAAAATGTATATTTTATATATAGGGTGATATTTGTTTAGCGTGACAATATACCTACTATACTTTACTATACCAAAGGTAAACATAAGGTGTCATAAAATACACCTACCAGCAAAACAATCAGTTAAATAAAGTTTGCCAGTAACACCTTCATTCCCTCAAAAACTTATTTACACTATTATTTTACATTTTTTTAATGTTTTTTTTTTAAATAAATTCTGTACTCTTGTTGGGAACTCATAAAGTGATTGGTTTTCGAGATATTTGCAAACATTTTTGGTTAAATAACATTTTCCAGTGGCGTACGGTATGGGGAAGTATCACCTTCATATCTTCTAAATTTTACGTCACCCTTAAAAAATTTATTTGAATTTTTTGATGTTTTATAAATAAATTATTTACTGTTGTTGGGAATATATCAAAAATCCAAAATTACAAAATTAAAATGAAGAGAATCAACTTATGAGTATGGAATATATTGAAATGCACAACAACAATGATGATTTATTTAAAAAAACATCAAAAAATAAAATGTTTTGGGGAACTTAATTTATTTAAACACAACTTTTACAATAACTATCAACTGATAACATTAACGTATAACGTCTATCATAAAACTGAAAGTCTGACGTCAGGATCGTCGACATATATCCAATGACATATATAGTTGAAATAGACTGCTTATCCATACGTAAATAAAACGATGAAAAGTGGGTCGAACTGGGAGATGTTTTCTCTTTGTCTAGTGCATGCAATGTTTGTGTTTTGTCTCAATTTTGAGTGCTCACTGGTAAACAAACCTTTCACAGGACCGGTTTTAAAGAAAGTTTAGTCTAGTTGAGATTTTGTTCTCATTGTCATTACTGAGTCGGACATTTTGTTGAATTGTTTATTTTATTTAGTTTTAATTATACTTATGTTCTGTTTTAAGTTTTTTAATTATTTGAGTATAAAAACTTGTTTTGTTTTTAAATTTAAATGGTGAATTGCTCTATAAAGGTTTGTAAGACCAGCTACAGAAATATATAAAGTAACATTTCATTTTTCACGCAAGTATCAATACAAGTAGGTACAAGGTAAATACGTTTATAATAATTTTACGAATTATAATTAATTATAATAATAATATTAATAACAATAAAGTATTTATTGTAAATACAATTACATAAATATTATTATATTCAAAGGCCTGAGTTAGAGCTATCTGGGCTTTACAAGTACATTTTAAAAGTTAGTAAGATACAGAGAAGTATCATATAATAAAAACTCAATATAAATAGAAGAAAAACGGACATAAGTACCAATACAGAGAGACAAACACTTTTATTCTTTGATAGGTTCTTTCTATGTAAATTCTAGTTCTGGCAATTTTGGCATTAAGTAAAGCCTCTTGATGGCTGAACTGATTTTTTTTATTGAGGAAAGGAGGTTGTATAATTTGTATACCTTCAGCTTCTGTTGTGTTTCCAATAAGAAAACCTTTGTTAAACATTTTACTATCGAGAAATGATTCACACACTTTAAGTATTGAGCTTTGTTAAAAAATGTCTATTTCTGAAGTTTACCACCATATGCTTCACTTTTGTAAGTAATGAGAGCAGTAGGTGACACTCCAGTCAATATTTTAATAGTATGCCTCTTTTTGTAGTCAGAGTAATTTTTTAGCCTACAACAAAGACATTTGGCTTGCTGTATTGTATTGGGATACAATCAAGTAGTAGTACTCTTACTTACATAGAGGCACATTATTTAATATTTCTTGTTTTGAAGGCCGAATTATACCATACTAAGAACTTCTACCAGTTTTATTAAAAACTGTTAAAAAATTTAAGGATAAAAAGTTTCATTCACTCCAAATAAAATGAATAAGACATTATTCTTGCATATCAGTTTTCAACTTCATAAAAGTAAATATAACTTGATCCTTTACAGACATAACTGATCTCCTTTTTCCTATTCTTTAGAAACAACTCTACTACTAATTCCACAATGGTGGCTATTAACTGGAAGGATTGCAATCCTATTAAAGTAGATAGTTCTTTAGCACTAACAATTCTGTTTGAAAACGGATCAACTAAATCACCACTCTTCACTTGTGTTGAACAATCGATCCCAATTTTCTGCTTTTAAACAAAGTTTTGTAAATTAAGCAAAGCTATTCAGCAGCACACAAATCTTCATTATCTGCTTCAGTAGTAGATATATGTTCATTAACTGCAAAAACACATTAAACATAATAATAATAATAATAATAATAATAATAATAATAATAATTAACCAAACATTTTAAATTATGCATACGTACATCCATTGCCTGAAGAAGATAACTCAACACTTAACATTCTACTAGTACTGGCAACATATCATTATTAAAGACAGTAGCCATAATACTTGTTTTAGCTGGATTACTTTTCTTTTTATTAATAGTCGCTTTCTTTTTACCACTAATCTGTGCTAACTTACATCGACTAAGCTTAGTTGTACGTTCTTTTTATGATTGTAAGTCAGAGTCTTTATTTCCCTCTTACCGATGCTAAGATACACGGATCTTGACGTCAACTAAGATTGCATTTTGTACCTACTCCATTTTACTATGATGTTGATCAGATTTCCACTGGTGGAATTTTATTATTATTCATCAAATCATTCACATTCACCGCCAAAATAATCCTTAATTGTCTAAAGGGACAAACTTTAGAATGTGAAGAAGCTACTAACTTTAAATCTTTAAAAAGTTCATTCAATTTTTGCATAATATCTGCTTTTATAATGCGAAATAAATTTTAAAAGAATAATCAGGTGTCCGAATAGTGCCACTATACAGTAGTCATGGTCTAAAGTTAGTTATATACACATGAGTGTAAAATTGTTTATATCTATGTTCAAAATTAGTTAGATCTCTTAAAATGTTTTTAAAATTGGGAAACTAGACGTTACGACTCAAAATCCTTTTTTAAAATACCTAACGCAAGCTCCTGTCTTGAAATAAACATATAGATATTTTTTTTTTAATTCAATTCCTACTTTGATGAAATATGTGTTTTAAACTCATTTGGGCCAGACCGATTCTGCCTGGTGAGCACTCGGCAAGCCAAGCAATATGACCCACTTTCCGTCGTCTTGTTTATATATGGATGAGCAGTCTATTAATCTATATATGTCATTGCATATATCTCGCCTTAACCTTCTAGAACTTTCTCAATCAATTCGGATTTTCCTTGACAAGGAATGTCATTTCGAAAAATTTCTGGACTATTCTATCTTCTTCTTTTACTCGTACTTTTACTTATGACAACCGCAGTACACTGTACTGTGATGGGTGACATTGCACTTCTTTATGAATTTTTTCGTTTCCTATAACGGCCGCAGGCTACTACAGAGTGCAAGGTAACAATATAGTCCAAATAAGAAGTTTGGACAGTGACATTAAATATAGAGAGGATGAAGCTGTTACTTATCCATGCCGTACGCCACTGGCAAGATTGTTTTGTGGTAGGTGTATCTTATGACACCAAAAATATTTAGTGAATTTAGTAAAATTATACAAAAAATAAAAAAATTATAGCTATAATTAATTATTAAATTTTCATACGCATGTTTCGTTTAATGGTCCGATTTTTAATCAGATAATCTTCAATGGTTCCGTGTTCCATTCTAAATGATATATATGTATATAGATATTATTTTTGCCCAACCTTATTTTAATTAGGTTTTAGGTAACATTCGCCATTGCAGGGATAGTCATTCTGATAGCAACGGTTAATCCTTACTTTTTAGTCGTTGCCGTGCTATTTTTCTCGTTTCTGCTTTTCTTGAGAAAATTGTATTTGCCAACGGGAAGAAGTTTGAAACGGTTGGAAGCAGCATGTAAGTATTTAACTGTATACTTATGTTTTTACTCGTAATATTAGAGAAACTCAGAAGGTGTTTTAAATAACTTAGCGTATGGTCCAAAATTTTTGGGAAAAAATCAGATGCTGACAACTCATAAAAATATTTTTGTAATCTTAACAAATATTCATACAATATCTTTTAACTATTTTTATAACTACCTAAAGTTCAAATAATCGACAAGGGAGCGTTAACTTCGATCTGCCTAAGTTTTCCCCTGATGCGTTGCGTCATCCTTTGGACGATCCCAGCGTTGATTTCTCTAATTTTTCCCTGTATACGACGTCGGAGTATTTCTTGATTTTGTACTTCCCATCCGATATCATACACTTTTCGGGTCAATATTGCCCAGAAGTCTTCTATTGGGCGTGCCTTAGGTAGGTTGGGGGGATTATCCATTTTCGGTACAAAGTTGATGTTGTTGGCCGTATACCAATCCCTTGTGATTATCGCATAATGGCATGAAACAAGATCTGGCCAAACCACAATTTCGTCATTTGCATGATTTGTATTCAAAAACTGAAGGAATCTAGAAAGACAACACCAATGTAGGGCTGTGAAATGAGACCAGCCTCAGAAATGGCACATCAAATTAAAATTTCCATCTCAGAGTTAGCCAAAACATTTTTTCTTAAAAGGGTCCTAAACACCGTAGTCTTTCCAATATGAAATCTTCTAGCCAGTTTTCACTGTGAGATTCCAATTCTGTGTTTAACTGCTTGAATAAGTCTCCCCTATCTTGATTGGTTCAAAACCCGCGGCTGACCGTTTTTTGGCAAGTTTATACATGGTATCCCTTCTTCACAGTCTTTGATTGTACGATAAATTGTCGATTTATTTATGTTCTGATCTTGATAAATATATACAATCTCTCGTTTCGACATTCGCCCAACCAGATTATAAATAGGGGAGGATGGGGTTGAAAGTTCCTATTTTTATTGAACCAATAAAAAATATATCGAAACAATGTGCGACTTTTGTGGCAATAAAACAAATTATCGTAGTACTAGACTATATAATAATTTCTTGGTGAATTATTAATAGCTGATCTTACAGAACAATTTTCTCGAGAAATCATCGGAGCGGCACAACCAGCCCCTCGACAGGGCAGGTTATTCCGTCATTGGGACAAATTGTTCCCCTCACATTTGTAATACTTTCCGTTCAAATAACGTAAGATTAATGAACAGGACAACTATTTTTTCAAATTCATTTATTAATTCTCAACTTCAGAAATGTACTAATGACACCAATAACAAAAAAAAAGATTATTCATCATTCTCATCATCTGAATTGCAATTGGGGCAAATATAAACCTCAAGTAAGCCCAATTTTTGCACATAATGCATTCAATCCAGTTTTCTCTGGGTTTCGAATTGGAATAGGAATCGTAGCAAATTAAACAATGCCATTCTTAATTATCTTTTTTATTATCGCTTTCATCGCTTTCTTGGAAAACTCGCCTTCTCATTTCGCTTTTTCGTTTCTTCTGTATTCTGCCTCTTGCTGAGCTTTGTCCATTGCCTTTTCCAGTTCCGTTTCCTTTGTTTTCCTTATTATGATCTTCATCTCTTTTTCTTTTCTTATTAGCGTGTTCCTCTGCCAATGCATTTTTCTCAGGTGTGTCTGTAAGAAGAGCCGTTTTTCTTTTGCGTCGCGTAGAAGTAGTCGACAATCTTAGTGGTGCTTTCGGGAACGGTTTAACTATTTCTGAAGAAAATATAACATGATCTATTGTTGTTGGTATTGTTTGAGGTTCTAATACCAGTTCCTGCTTTATGGTTTTTATGCCATAGAGCTGGAATATGTGGCATGCTAAATTTTATGGTACAATCGTAAGCGAAAGTTGGCACTTCGTCTGGCAAGAGACCGAAGTAGATTGAGGCAAATTATCTGTTTATGCTCCCGAGTGAACACCAGTCTTAATTTGCAACCCACTGAAGGCACCTCACCAGCTCTCAACTTTTTCTAAATAATGTCATGTGGCAGATTTCGAGTTCTCTTTAATAACAGCATTAGCTGCTCTGCGTAGGAGTTCTTCGGAAGTTTTACCTTGTTCAGTTTTTCTCTTGTACGTACGCATCCTGAAATTAAAAAAATGCATATCATTTGTTTATCGGAGTAAGTTGTTCCAAGGCACAACTAGCCCCAAAGTAAAGGAACTTCCAACCTCATATTCCATTCTCGAATCTCACGCAAATTTATTTTCAAGAGTCGAAGTAAATCAAATAACAATAATTAAAATTGATCGAAATAGACCCAAAAGTTTATTCACCAATATATTTACTTACCTGTCATTCGACGATCTCTATTCACACACCTAACACACGGACACCTTAAATGAAACTAATAGGACAGCCGATAGTGCGCGATCACTCGGCAACTTGTATCGTCCTTCAAACGTATCGCTGTCTCTTTCTGCTCGCACGTATACTCATCGGAACAATCAACCTCTGAAACTTTCAGCTCCATCTTCCCCTACCTTGATGAAGATCAATTTTATAAGATATTTTGGTAAGCGCAAACCAAAAACTTTTACATTGCTCATTTAGATGATATGACTGGTGACATTTAATTTCCATGATCTGCTTGATTAGATGCATTTTGTCACTCAGTCAAACAAGGTGACTTTTTTCCCAAAACTTTTGGATCATACGTTATTTTCAATTATGTGAATTGCCAAAAATATCTACCTATTTGGAAAGATACTGAGGCTTATATATACGGAGAAGAGGATAAAAACAGAAGATGGTAGAAAAGAACGAACAAACAGTTTAAACAATAATTCTATGATGGGCACAGTACAACTAGGTTTAAAAGAGGGCTAAGGTAAAAGAAGAAAAACCGCAAAATTGGTTATGTGAAGAAAGCCCATAAGCAAAAAAAGAGGCTACCAAAAAAAAGATTGTATGAAAGCGTACAAGAAAAGCTTAAACACTTGAGTTACAAATCAGAAAATCAAGAAAAAATGATTATTTTTTAAATAACTAAATTTTAATATCTTTGACAACTTTGTTGTATTTATGTTTTTAAAAATGTATAAATACAATCATATTGTTTATTTTTTTAGCTAGAAGTCCAATGATAGGCCATCTTAATGCCTCTCTTGAAGGTTTGACGACTATAAGAGCTTACAAAGCACAACATATTTTGACTCAAGAATTCGATAGGTATCAAGATGTTTTTACGTCTGCACATTATACTTCCTTATTATCTATGAGAGCTTTTGGATTTATTATGGACTTTTTGTGCTCCATTTTTATACTGGTGGTTGTTATCAGATTCATAATTGTGGATACAGGTAAGAAATATTATGTATTTACTTTTGTAATATAGGGTGATACAACCTAGAAATTCTCCAATTTCAATCAAACTTCAATTAAACGTAATTTAAAATAATTACTAGTTATCCATTTAATCTAATAAACTTAAAATAATTACCTTCAAACATCTTGTAGCTAAATTTCTGTCGTCTACCCAAGCGAGATGATATAGGCATAGATGTATAGCAGAGTGTCCCTTATATGGATGAAAAAAATTTTTTTTTTGGAATTATATTTGCTTATCCCCGTATTTATTTTTAAACTATCAAGACTTACTTAAATACAAAATGTTATCTATCTACGTCTACATTAACCCGTGCCGACAGGGCTCTGAATAATTTGTAAATTGCTGTTTTTAACCCTTTCCGTTAGGTATGCAGCTAAATTAATTGAAATGTATATTTTATAAAAAATATAATCGAAAAGAATAGGTACTTATTTATTTAAAGAAGATAAAATTACAGATCAGGCAGGATAATTTCTTATGAGGGTCTCTTTTTACAGTCTGAATATAGATTTCTATGCTCTTGCACACAGCGTAGCAAAAATTGCTTTTGTTCTTTCCTTGCAGTGAAAATGAAAATCTTGCATAAATTTTACAGCCCTTTCAGCTGTATCATTAACTGCTTTTAAGGAAATAACTTTTCTTTTTACCTCTAATAAGCCAACATCTTCGTACCACGTAGAAACGGGTCTCTGAAGGAAATTATCATCAATTTTTAATCGAGAAAATTAATTTTTACTCTTGACAGACACAAAATCACTTAATGATTTTCCTACAACAATAAATAAGGCAATATTATTATCAGTTTAGTGAAAACATTATAAAAAATAAATGTATTCTTACTTACCATTCAAATAATCAGACATATCTTCTTTCGATGGAATATATCTCTTCCCAGAATCATACAAACTCTCTCTTTGTAAGTTCAGTACAATATTTCCCTTGGTTTGTTCATCAACTTCATCATCAAAGAGTGACAGAACGGCAATTTCTTCTGACAAGTACCAAATATGTTGACTAAACTTGCTCAAAGATCAACTTGTCGACAGTTTCATATTCCGTTAGCCTCCTTAAAAAGCACAAATCTTGATTTGGTGCCTTCACCGCTAGATTACATTGAAGCCATGGTTTTACATATATAACCGCAATGAATAAACAAACGTCTTAAAGTGCTCGTTTATCCTTGGAGCTAATTTTAAACTAAGATTGCAACAAACATATTTTTAAAGAGTAAATAGCTCTAGCCATCCACCTAGCTTGATGCATTGCTCCAGGAGGTCTGATTTAAATTTTTTTCTCATTGTTTCCTCCAAAGAAAAGAATTTATAGTTCAATCAGTTCCCGATACTCGTCTCATACAACGTTTTTTTGCAATTCTTAATTATAAAATGTAAATAATTCTTGTATTGTTGTTGTATAACAAAAATGTTGTGTGACGATATCGGTGTACAGGGCCGCCGAGAGCCGCCTGGTGGGGCTCCAAGACAATTTTATAAAAAAAATTTAGCCCTTTCGATATCACATTTCTAAAAAAAAAGTCCTCAAGTAAAGTGAAGAAATCTAAACAATGCCAAAAAAAAACAAGAAGATGCCAAAAAGACCTCATCTTGTATTTTTCATAAACCAGGTCCTCCCTTTTATGGCGAACTACTTAAAAAAATAAAACGTCCTCACTTAAAGCTACTGGTCTCCCTTTGTGCCGCTGCCGGGCACCCCTTGTGCCCAGGCCCCGGGAATTTGTCCCGCCAGCTTCCCCTCTCGTCGGCCCTGTCGGTGTAGGTTTTAGGCAAAAAAAACAAAAAAAAATAATAACAAAAAAAACAACAAACACAGAAAACAAAAAATAACAAAAAAGGAACGAAAAACAAAACAAAAAACACAAAACGAAACAAAAAAACAAAAAAAAAATAAAAATAAAAAACAAAACATAAAACAAAAAAAAAATAAAACAAAAACAAAATAAAAAAAACAAAAACCAAAATTAAAAAAAAAGAAAACCAAAAAAACAAAAAAAAAAACAAAATAACAAAAAAAAACAAGAAGAAGCAAAAAAATGCCTCATCTTGTATTTTTCATAAACCAGGTCCTCCCTTTTGTGGCGAATTACTTAAAAAAATAAAACGTCCTCACTTAAAGCTACCGGTCTCCCTTTGTGACGCTGCCGGGCCCCCCTTGTGTCCAGGCCCCGGAAATTTGTCCCGCCAGCTTCCCCTCTCGTCGGCCCTGTCGGTGTAGGTTTCAATAGCAAAACAAAATAAAAAAAACAATAAAAACAAAAAAACAGAAAAAATAAAAAAAAAGAAAAAACAAAAAAAACAAAAAAAACAAAGAAAACAAAAAATAAACAAAAAAAGCAACAAAAAAAGCAACAAAAAAAAACAAAACAAAAAACACGAAACGAAACCAAAAACAAAAAAAAAATAAAAATAAAAACAATAAAACAAAACAAAAAAAACAAAAACCAAATGAAAAAAAAAAACGAAATAAAACAAAAAAAATAAAAAAAACAAAACAAAAAGAAAAACAAAAAAAAACAAGAAGAAAAAACAAAAAAAATACAAAAAAAAAATAACAAAAAAAACAACAACAAACAAAGACAACAAAAAACTACAAAAAAGCAACAAAAAACACAAAACGAAACAAAAAAAAATAAAAATAAAAAATAATAAAACAAAACCAAAAAAAAAACAAACAAAAAAAAATAAAACAAAAACAAAATAAAAAAAACAAAAACCAAAATTAAAAAAAAGAAAACCAAAAAAACAAAAAAAAAACAAAATAACAAAAAAAAAAACAAAATAAAAAAAAAAACAAAATAAAAAAAAAAACAAAAGAACAAAAAAGAAGAAGCAAAAAAATGCCTCATCTTGTATTTTTCATAAACCAGGTCCTCCCTTTTGTGGCGAATTATTTAAAAAAATAAAACGTCCTCATTTAAAGCTACCGGTCTCCCTTTGTGACGCTGCCGGGCCCCCCTTGTGCCCAGGCCCCGGAAATTTGTCCCGCCAGCTTCCCCTCTCGTCGGCCCTGTCGGTGTAGGTTTCAATAGCAAAACAAAACAAAACAAAAAAAAACAATAAAAACAAAAAAAACAGAAAAAATAAAAAAAAAGAAAAAACAAAAAAAACAAAAAAAGCAACAAAAAAAAAAACAAAACAAAATACACGAAACGAAACCAAAAACAAAAAAAATAAAAATAAAAAACAATAAAACAAAACAAAAAAAACAAAAACCAAATGAAAAAAAAAAACAAAAAAAAATAAAAAAAACAAAACAAAAAGAAAAACAAAAAAACAAGAAGAAAAAACAAAAAAAATACAAAAAAATATAACAAAAAAAAACAACAACAAACAAAGAAAACAAAAAACAACAAAAAAGCAACAAAAAACACAAAACGAAACAAAAAAAATAAAAATAAAAAACAATAAAACAAAACATAAAACCAAAAAAAAACAAACAAAAAAAAAATAAAACAAAAACAAAATAAAAAAAACAAAATAAAAAAAACAAAAATCAAAATTAAAAAAAAGAAAACCAAAAAAACAAAAAAAAAAAACAAAATAACAAAAAAAACAAGAAGAAGCAAAAAAATGCCTCATCTTGTATTTTTCATAAACCAGGTCCTCCCTTTTGTGGCGAATTACTTAAAAAAATAAAACGTCCTCACTTAAAGCTACCGGTCTCCCTTTGTGACGCTGCCGGGCCCCCCTTGTGCCCAGGCCCCGGAGATTTGTCCCGCCAGCTTCCCCTCTCGTCGGCCCTGTCGGTGTAGGTTTTAGGCAAAAAAAACAAAAAAAAATAATAACAAAAAAAAACAACAAACAAAGAAAACAAAAAAGCAACGAAAAACAAAACAAAAAACACAAAACGAAACAAAAAAACAAAAAAAATAAAAATAAAAAACAAAACAAAACATAAAACAAAAAAAAAAATAAAACAAAAACAAAATAAAAAAAACAAAAACCAAAATTAAAAAAAAGAAAACCAAAAAAACAAAAAAAAACAAAATAACAAAAAAAAACAAGAAGAAGCAAAAAAATGCCTCATCTTGTATTTTTTATAAACCAGGTCCTCCCTTTTGTGGCGAATTACTTAAAAAAATAAAACGTCCTCACTTAAAGCTACCGGTCTCCCTTTGTGACGCTGCCGGGCCCCCCTTGTGTCCAGGCCCCGGAAATTTGTCCCGCCAGCTTCCCCTCTCGTCGGCCCTGTCGGTGTAGGTTTCAATAGCAAAACAAAACAAAAAAAAACAATAAAAACAAAAAAAAACAGAAAAAATAAAAAAAAAGAAAAAACAAAAAAAACAAAGAAAACAAAAAATAAACAAAAAAAGCAACAAAAAAAGCAACAAAAAAAAATAAAAATAAAAAAACAATAAAACAAAACAAAAAAAACAAAAACAAAATAAAAAAAAAAAACAAAAAAAAATAAAAAAAAAACAAAACAAAAAGAAAAACAAAATAAAAACAAGAAGAAAAAACAAAAAAAATACAAAAAAAAACAAAAAAAAGAATGGCCTCATCTTGTATTTTTCATAAAAAATAAAATGTCCTCGCCCAAAGCTACCGGTCGCCCTTTGTACCACTGCCGGGCCCCCCTTTTTGCCCAGGCCCCCCTTTTTGCCCAGGCCCCGGGAATTTGTTCCGCCAGTCCCCCTCCTCTCGTCAGCTCTGTCGGTGTAGGTTTCAATAGCAGCAGGAATAATAGTTTTCTAGTTGCCTCTAAATTGTGATAACAGGACTCTTCGTGATGGCGGCAAGCAAAGAGTACTAATGCCCTGTCTTTTGTTCCAAAAGTACACAGGCTCCTTTTATTCCAAAAGTACACAGGCTCCTTTTAATCGCCCTGTATTAGACGCAGTTGTGTCACAGCACATGATTTGTACTTTGTCATCGAGTTTACAGTCATAAAGGTCTACTTCAGATAATAATTTCCCATCCATGTGAACGATCATCATTTCAGGCATATTATTATGAAAATCTGATTTTATAGATACCGCTCTCTTTTCTACTCTATGTGCGAATGAGTTAAATGGACGATTTGTTTATCGGGAATCATCACAGCTAAGATCTAGTGCTTCTACTACAGCCTGAAGTATATAAACAGAATATTTTATGCTTAATTGACATCTATCTAAAGCTGCAACTAACTTAGGCGTGACAAAGTCTTTATTATTTTTCTGTTTGTAGTAGTTCCTAGTTCCAGAACTTACCGTTTGAGAGGTGGATGGTAAGTGTTCCTCAAGGCTTTCATCAGAGCTAGCAGGTTGATCGTGATGTCCTTGCGTTTGTATAAAATCTTGTGTTGTAAGAGAAGACGGTAAACTCCCGAAACACATTTGTCCTTTACTATTCTTTAAATTTTCGGTCTTGTCCTTTTTTCTTTCTTGACTAACTTTTTGTCTACACCCGCTTCACACCCTGGACGTTCCGGTTCTCTTTGTTTTTGTAAAAATAATTTATCTTATCCAATTTTCATCCGTTCCAAAACATCAGAGTGTGCTATATCGAATAAATTATCTAAATTGTTTTGAAAGTCCACCTCACGGCACTTGTAAACATATTGTATTTTTTGGAATTTGTTTGCAACTCCCTCCAAGCACGGTGAAGATCCACAAGTTTTTTTACACAGTTAGGTAGGCTTCTAAATGCAAAACAATACGTCTTAATCACGAGAATAACTGAGAAAAAATAACAAATACCGCGCAACTTGTATGAACATGATTCTATGCAAGTCGGCACGGGTTATCGTACTCCAAATTAGGTAAAAATTTATTTCCGAGTGTTTTAAAAGCAATTGAACAAAAGTAAGACCTATGCGTTGGAAAATAAAAATTTTGAAAAATAAGGGACACCTTAATCATATAAACAATTAATTGAACCTAGAAATCCCCCAAATTCAATCAAACCCTATTTTTCTAAATATAGGTAATTTAAAGGTAATAATAATTTTAAAATATATTCAGGTACCAGTGCTGGAAACGTGGGTTTAACGTTAACCCAGTTGTTTATGCTTGCTGGTCTGGTGCAATGGGGTGTACGAACGTGGGCAGACTTAGAAAACCTGATGACGTCGGTAGAAAGAGTTTTGGAATACACAGAAATACCTCCAGAGCCAACAGATGGAAATGAAGTAGAAGACTGGCCAAAGAGTGGTAGAATTGTCTACGATAACGTTTCTTTAGCTTACAACAAAACTGAAATTGTTTTGAAGAATTTGAATTTCACAGTCGAACCTAATCAGAAAATTGGGATAGTTGGTAGGACAGGGGCAGGAAAGTCGTCCATAATTTCCACAATTTTTAGGCTATACGAACCAGATGGGAAAATACTGATAGATGGCGTAGATATCAAGACTTTATCGTTGAAATTTTTACGAAAAAAACTGGCTATAATACCTCAAGATCCAGTTCTCTTTACAGGTACCATCCGTACTAATATTGACCCAATGAACGAATTCAAAGATGAAGAATTGTGGAACGTACTAGAAGAAGTAAACATAAAGAAAATAATTCCTACTCTAGATATGAAGATAACTAGCAGTGGTGGGTCAAATTTTAGTTCTGGGCAGAAGCAGTTAATATGTTTAGCTAGGGCTATCTTGAGGAAAACGAAAATAGTAATATTAGATGAAGCTACAGCTAACATGGACCATGAAACTGACATCCTTCTTCACAACACGATACAAAAGAATTTCTCGGGTTGTACTGTTCTAACGATAGCTCACAGATTACATTCTATATTGGTGTGTGATAAAGTAATGGTTTTGGATAGAGGAGAGATCAAAGAATATGATGAACCAAAGAATTTGTTAAAAAATAGAGATGGTATTTTTTATAAAATGGTTAGTCAAGCGGGATTGTTAAACTATTTGACTGAATAGTTAATGTTTATAGTAAATGAAACGAAACATTTAACCTCATGTAAGAAATACCATCTTTAGTTCTATTTTTTGTAAATATTTTAAAATAAAACATACTTTTATAAGAGTTTTTTTAATGAGTAATGGACGAGCAAAATTTTAATCATAAAAGAAAAAAGCACAGTATATATACTGGGTCTAGTTAATTTTATTTAAGAGGAAAATTTACATTACAAACTAAAAAACCTGCGGGGCAAGGTAGTTCAGTAGGTATAAAAATTACAACTTATGGGTGGAGCCTAAATACTACAAAATTACTTCCGAGACTGAACAAAATTAGAATTAATTCATAATTTTAACAATTGCATGTAGATACGAAGGATACATATTCTAAATTCTAACGCGGAAGTTGAGACAAAGGAAACGTAAAATATTCCACGATAGCACAAAATAATATTTTTTTTTACTACTAACATGAGAAATCACCATTATTTACTCCATTCCTCTAATAAGAAGTAATATTTCTCACCCTAGGTAAATAATGATAATAAAAAACACCTAGGTAAATAATGAAACTAAATTTCATTAGTTTCATTTGGTTAATTTGACAACTAAACTCCCAGACTACTTGATATTTTGAAATATTTGAAAAATAAGTAGGAAATAACTAAAGCTGGGTTTATTAAAATCTAATCAAATCAAATATGATAATATATATCAGTGTTAATAGTAAAAATATATATTAACTAGGAAATTCAACACCGGCTTCAAAAATTATTAATTAATACCAATAAATCCATGTCACTAAAATATCAAAAATCTGATATGTCCAACACATGACTTTCCTATCTAGTTTTTATAGACTTTTTCCGGTTATTTTGTACAGCCTATTGCAGCATCTCTATAAATGTTTAGAGGATAAACTAAATATATACATTGTCCACATACATCTACCTCGAAACATTTTTCTATAGATATTCATTGAAAACGAAAATACTGAAAAATTTAAATTTAGCACTTTTCCATTACGGTCCATTTTAGAAAAATCATGTATAAACAAAAATTATAGAGATCGATATCGCAAACAACTTTTAGTTCAACAATTTTCATAAAAATGAGAATTTTGCACATTTTGTCAAATTTCTCGGATACGGACCATTTCAGGTAATTTTAACATAAAACAAAAATTATAGATAATAAATAATATTAGAAGTAACTTTTATTTGAACAATTTTCTTCTTTAAACATAAATTACAGATATATTCCATAAAATATAAAAACGGCCTCCCATAAAGTACCCCCCTAGATGTTCCGACTTTGTCCAAAATCTAATCATGTCACGTCAGGCCGAAATAAACCTTCAGTTTAAAATTTAATGTTATTTTCTTTATCCGTTTTTGAGTTTTCTTCAAAATTCGAAATTTACACATTTTCTTAAATATCTCGAATACGGTCCATTTTAGAGAAATTATGTATCAAATAAAAATTATAGAGAATTATATTACAAACAACTTTTATTTAAACAATTTTTATAAAAAAATATTTTTTATACATTTTGTCAAATTTCTCGAATACGGACCATTTTAGGAAAATTTTGTATGGAACAAAAATTATAGAGAATAATATTAGAAGTAACTTTTATTTGAACAATTTTTTTCTCCAAACATAAATACCGGATATATTCCATAAAATATAAAAATTACCACCTATAAAGTACCCCCCCAGATGTTCCGACTCTGCCCAAAATCTTATCAGTTCATTAGACACTGGAATAAATTTGGTGTTTTTCTGTGTATCGGTTCATGAGTTATGCGACCTACACACACACACACACACACACACACACACACACACACACACACACACACACACACACACACACACACACACACACACACACACACACACACACACACACACACACACACACACACACACACACACACACACACACACACACACACACACACACACACACACACACACACACACACACACACACACACACACACACACACACACACACACACACACACACACACACACACACACACACACACACACACACACACACACACACACACACACACACACACACACACACACACACACACACACACACACACACACACACACACACACACACACACACACACACACACACACACACACACACACACACACACACACACACACACACACACACACACACACACACACACACACACACACACACACACACACACACACACACACACACACACACACACACACACACACACACACACACACACACACACACACACACACACACACACACACACACACACACACACACACACACACACACACACACACACACACACACACACACACACACACACACACACACACACACACACACACACACACACACACACACACACACACACACACACACACACACACACACACACACACACACACACACACACACACACACACACACACACACACACACACACACACACACACACACACACACACACACACACACACACACACACACACACACACACACACACACACACACACACACACACACACACACACACACACACACACACACACACACACACACACACACACACACACACACACACACACACACACACACACACACACACACACACACACACACACACACACACACACACACACACACACACACACACACACACACACACACACACACACACACACACACACACACACACACACACACACACACACACACACACACACACACACACACACACACACACACACACACACACACACACACACACACACACACACACACACACACACACACACACACACACACACACACACACACACACACACACACACACACACACACACACACACACACACACACACACACACACACACACACACACACACACACACACACACACACACACACACACACACACACACACACACACACACACACACACACACACACACACACACACACACACACACACACACACACACACACACACACACACACACACACACACACACACACACACACACACACACACACACACACACACACACACACACACACACACACACACACACACACACACACACACACACACACACACACACACACACACACACACACACACACACACACACACACACACACACACACACACACACACACACACACACACACACACACACACACACACACACACACACACACACACACACACAGACATCATCGCGAAAATAGTCAAAACGGATTCAGGAGACCTCAAAACGTAAAAATCCGTCGAAAACTCGAGGTCGAAAAAAATCATGATTCCTATACTTTCCTTATATCTGTATACCGATAGGAAAGTAAAAATGCAATGGGATATTTCCTAGAATCATATCAAAATTTGACACATGCCAAATTTTTACATACATAAAGCCAGTCTGATTAGAAACACGCTCCACTCTGCTTGATGTTTCGAAATATTTAACAAATTGTTAGGAAATTACTTATGTCAAAATTAAAATTAATTATTAATGTTAGTAGTAAAAAAAATTCTATATATACCTCGGCTGAGAAAGCTATTATTTACCTCGCACATTATATCCTTCGGCGCTACGCGCCTCAGGATATAAAAGTGCTCGGTAAATAACAGCTCACTTCTCACCCTAGGTATATAATGTACTATTTTACAATATAGTATGGTGTAGAATAAAACTTATTTTGATTTTGCCTCCTAACTTTGGTATCATAAGCTGAATTTTTCAGGGATGAAAGTACGATAAGCTAACCCTTATTCCGGAGGTAATACAAAATTAGACAGGGCAAAAGGGCACTATCATAAAAAATCGAGAAATTAATACCACCGTATAGGGAAAAAAATGCAAATTTTTTGGTCTAATGCACAACTAGGACTTTGTAGGGAGTATTTTCTATAATTATTTAAAAACAATCAATTGCATGGACGTAAATATTTCGGTTTCAACCGTCAACAAATTTGTTTAAAAAATCTTCTTTTAGAAATATACCTTTCATTTGACGAAAACCGAAGGCCTAAACTAAAAAAAAATATTCTTCATAAAAGTTTCGCCTATGTATTGACAAGGTAAGAGTACTCTTCCCATATTTTTTACTTTTAAATTAACAAAAATATAGCAATAAACAATAAGTGATGTTAAGGCTTTATAGAAAAGCAAGTAATGAACGCAGAGTCCGTGGATTATCTTATGCGTCGCTCTCAGTCCTGAAATGAATGCAATCTGTTTGACTCTCTTACATTATTTTATGCAGGGATTATTGACTTATCCGCTACGAATGCGAATAATGCTTTATAGGGTGTATTACTTTATGATTTTTTTTTAAGAAAATAAAAAAATAAGAGAATATAAATTATTTTTAGAAGGTATACGCACAGTATATATAGGGTGTTTCAGAACTATGGGATCAAACTTCTAGGGGTTATTCAGTGCAACAGTAGAAAACATTTGAGTACAGGGACCCATGTCTGGAAAAGTGTCACTACGGCACTACGGCCCTAAGACGCGTTAAAATTTAGAAAGACGATGAATTGCCTAAATAGGATTTAATGCATTTAATTTTTGCCTTTTGTACATGATATCACAACAATTGTTCAAAATGTCTTCCTCCAACCTGAATACACCGATTTAGACGTCGTACATGATTTCGGCGGACTTGTCTAAAAATTTGATGCTCGTTTTGAATGATTCCAAATGCTGCTGTAATTCGTCCAATTAAGTCTTGCTCTATTTCTACTGAAGTTTCGTAGACCAAAGACTTTACATGTCCTCACTGGAAAAAATCTAGCGACGTTAAATCGGGTTACCTAGGAAGCTAAGAAACTGCTCCAACGGTGCTAAAACCGCTGAGCCAAATCCTCACGTACTTGTACAGCAAAGTGAGCCGGCGCTCCATCATGCTGGAATCACATTTGCTGTCGAACGTTTATTGGAACATTTTCAAGAAGTTCTGGAAGAAATTCCTCCAAAAAACGCCGGTAAATAGGTCATGTTAACAGTAGCGGTTTTCCCGTAAGGGCACGTGCCCTAGTATAGTAAACAAAAAAAAAATAACTTACATATTTTATATTTTCCTCAATGCCTATTATTATTTCATCTAATATTCAGCACAAATCGCGTTGGCACGACACTGGACGACCGGGCGTTGAGCAACGTTCCGAGAATTTCGAAATGGAAGATGGGCACAGTAAATGTGTGCCTCTGTTGTTTTCTCTCTCATT